AGTAGGAGGGAAGATGGAGAGAACATAAAACAAACACACACACGTACCAAGAAAAGTTAAGAATGTCAAAATAGTAGAAATTGGTGGGAAAAAAGAAAAAAAAAATATGTATATACACAACACAAGTGAAGTATGCTATTCAGACGTCCCAGCTCCCAAGATCCTAATTCATGCAAAGTACCTGGTTTCACCTGTGTTGGGGATGGGAGGGTGGGAATAGAGAGGGAGGGGCAAATCTTGAAGGAAGAGACAGGGTTGTTGGTTGGAGGTCAGTGTCTTTCCTGCTTCTCTTCTCATCCAGTAGGTGGGTCGCCTGTTGTTAGCTGGTGTCTGCGCCCTCAGGATGGTGAAGGTGACCAGGGTGTCACTGTGCTGGGGTAGCGGCTGCTGGGGAGGGGGGAGTTAGAAACTGGGTACCTGGCCAGCTGGAGTTCCCGTTGCCCCCACTGAAGATGGTGATGAAGGGGCCCAAGATGGAGGTTCTGGCTTTCAGCTGTGGGGAGTCGGATCGAGTGGGGGGAGCTGGGCAATGGCGTTGGACCAAGAGTTCAGAGAGGCGCTCGTGCAGTGTGTGGCTGTCGCTGACTTCAGAGCCTGTGTGAAGTCCCCAAGTGCAGGCAGGCCACTGCACGTAGGGGACTATCTCCCTGCTGCAGAGTCCCAAGATGGGGCCACCAGGGGGGTGATAAACCAGCCTAATTCCCTCTTAAGATCAGGAGCCATCTTGTCACAAGTTATAAAGGATTCATTTCTGTTTTCTATAAAATATTAGGATTTCTTTATAGCCTGGTTGTGATTTGATGTTTGGAATGCCTGACCAGGCCTTGAACTCACCCCTGCCCGGGTTTCCCTGACCAGATAACAACCCTCTCCGAAACTTCAGTGGCGCCTCGGAAATCTTGGCCTTCCCTGGCCAGATAATGACCCTCTTTGAGGCTCTAATGACCTTCATAAATTTGACCTTCATTAATTCTGATGTCGGGGCCAGCAAAATATGAACTAGCCTTTGTGTTATGCTTGTCAAAGATTTGTCATCTGTAAGTTCTCAAACCCCCTTTGTGTAACTCTCTGTGCTATAAAGCTGCGCTCCTGGAGAGCTGGGGGGCTGTGTCTTGTTCCCACGGTTTTGGTTGGGAGAGGCAGCCGGGCTGGTCGAAATAATAAGCTTGCTTTAATTTGACTTTAATTGGAGTCAGTGGTCTTTTCTTTGTGTCTTGGTCTGCCAGGGGGGCCCACGTTGGTAGATGGGGGTCCACATGGAGTGGCAGAAGCTGCCAGGTGTCCTATGACCTATGTGGGAGCTCGGGTCTGGGACGGGCTCAGTGATCCTGTGCGGGGGCAGGAAGATCCCTCGCAGAGAAGCAGTATTCTCATGACTTGAATCCCAGGTCGCAGAGCGACCCAGAGTCTGCCTCCCTCTGGCCCGCACCTTGGACTCAGTCTCCCACACCCACCACAGGAACACAGAAATCCAGACTTTGGGGGTGGTACCAGAAGATCTCAGAAATGACCGTCTCCCAAACTAACAGGTGGGTTTCACTCCAACAGAGAACCTGTGCATGGAGCCTTTGAAAGCCCCCGTTCCTGCTGATGGGCAGGACCGCAGCCTCTGGGGCAGGTCCCCCGTGTTTGTCCCTTGCTAGCAAAGCAATAAACCTTCTTTTTCCTTTTTCTCAAACTGGTCCTCATACTGCTTTCACACTGGGGACAGGGACCGAGCTTTAGGCGACACAGGGAGTCAAAGCCCATCTGGAATGACCGGTGGAGTAGGAATTCCTGAGAGCTCCTCCTCATGCCCAAATCTCCAGGTGCCAGTGCATGGAGGGAAGTCCTGTGTGTCTAGAATCCGCTTGAGCAAGAGGCAAGAATGACGTCGGTAGAAATGTGTGTCAAAACAAGGTGACCTGTTTTTTTTTTTTGTGTGTGTGTATGTAAGGCACTGAACCCAGGGGTGCTTTACCACCGAGCCACATTGCCAGCCCTTTTAAGTTCTTATTTTGAGACAGGGTCTCACTAAATTGCTTAGGGACTTGCTAAATTGCAGTTGTTGGCCTGCAACATGAGAGCCTCCTGCCTCAGCCACCTGCGTAGCTAGATCACAGGTATGTGTGAGACTGCCTATGTTACTGATTTTTGAGCCCAAATTGTAGTGGCACCCCCTCCTTCACAGAAAATCTTAATTAAGCTTCTTCAGAGACCCTCACCATAATTGTTCTCAGGCTGTGAGCAAGAGTTTCTGTAGTTAGGCCTCCATATCTCGTTGCCATCTTGTCATAGCTGAATTTGGCCAAGAGCCTGGAGGAGGTCAGCCCTGCAGATCCTGAGCAGCTCTTACTGGTTTTGCAGACATTTATGGGCTGTCTGGTGCCATCCATTTCTAGTCTAATAGGACATAGGATTGTTCGTAAGAGTCTTCAGGCAGGAAGTGTGCTTACCGAAGCCGAGTGTGATAAGGGCCTTTAGCCTGGGCCTGAGCCTTCACGGGTGTTAACACATCAAAGGAACGAAGTTAGATCCTAGGGAAAGAGCAAGTTGCTAGGAGGCTTCTTGGACACCAGCTGGTGGGGAGACCGGAGGGGAACCCCCCTTTCCCAAGCACTAATTTTTGCAGTGTCCCCTATTTATTTTTTTGTATCCAGGCCTGGGTTAATTACCCGGTACAATAAAAAAACTACTTTTATGTAGACTTCTCCAAATTGTGAGCCTCTGAGCCCCCCCCCCCCCCACTTCACCTACACTCTGGGCATAAGGTTCTAAAGATTCCTGGACTCTGGGTGTAACGGGTTCACTTGACGCTTTGGCTATATCCCTGGTGGCTTTGAAACTTGTGTTATTCCTCTTTCCCAATCTTCTCCCTGTCCTTCTCCTCCCTCATCTTCTCCCTGTCCTTCTCCTCCCTCATCTTTCCTTCCTGATCTTCTGTTCCCTAAACCTGTCCTTCCTAATCGCTCCTCATTAACCTCGTTTTCTCTGAATCCCCTCTGAATCACAGCCTTTGGGACAGGAATCCCGTGTTTCTCCTTCGCTAGCAAAGCAATAAACGTTCTCTTTCATTCTGTTTCCCTTTTCTCGAGACCTTGTCTTTGTTATTGGGTCGCCTTCGAGGATGAGGACCGAGCTCATCCTCCGGGGTTCGGAGGGACCCGCTCTGGGCTTGGCTGACAGGAATTCCTGCTCATTCCCTGCTGCCCAGCCTGGGTCTGTCCTGCTTCAAGATGAGACAGGGACTGGGGACAGTGAGAGAGATGCTGGTCTTAGAGGAAACACCCCAAACTCATGGAAATGCAGGAAGCTCCCAGGAACAATGGCAAGACAAAGGGTCCCCACCCCCCAGTGACAGGAGGACGTATAAGGGAAAACTGGTGTGAAATCGTGATGTGGACCCCGCCCTGCCGCCACCTCTTGTCCAGCCCCTCGCACTGCCCTCCACACAGATGCACACCCACACCACAGGCTGCCCTCTCTCCCGGGAGGTGGCCCGCATTCTCCCGTGACCGCGGACGTGTCCTTGGGTAGTGACAGCTCTGGAAGTGGCTGGCACATGGCGGTGCAGGAAGAGTGGCTGGAGGGAAGGCGCCTAGAGAGCTGAGGGCCGCTGGTGGGGACGTGGCTCTGGTGGGGCCATGAGGCCTGACCTCTGGGTTTCCACCTGACTTGGGTTTGAACCTCCCTCTGGCCGCTGTATTGAGAGTAGGCTGGGGGTTGGGAACAGGACGACCCGGTGAGGAAATCCCAGCAAGAGGTGACGGTGGCTGGGGCCAGGGGGATGGCCGTGGAGAAGGGGAGCAATGGTCAGATTCTGGGACAGCGGAGGGGACAGCCACGCTGGCTTGCTCATGGGTCCCTGGGTGGCTCTCCAGGCATTTCAGTCTGCAGCCGGGCGACAGGAGCCCTGGGGCTTACTAAAGGGGAAGGGGGGCAGGGCGTTCGTGAAACTGCCTGCATTTCCTGTTCCTCTGTTAGAAATGAGGGTGCAGCCCTGTGCAGTGACCAGACCCCACGGGGCCGAGGACATTCTGGGCAGAAGGAGCAGTGTGGACCCAGGCCTGCTGGCAGGAAGAGGGAAGCCTGGTGGCTTCCGGCCTTGGCTGCTGACTGGAGCTGGGCTTCTATCCCGTGGGCCATGGGGAGCCAAGGGATGCCTTTGAGTGGGGGACAGGGTCCATGTGGGAAGGAGTCTTGGAGGTCTGAAGTGGCCCAGGTCAGGAGCCCCTGGCTTGAGGCATCAGAAGGGAGTGGCTGAATGGGGCACCTGCATCATTGAAGCTGGCTCTGACCCCTGATTCTGGTGGCGCCATCTGGTGGCTCAGGCAGAAACAGCTGGAGGGGAGGGGCTGTGGTGCTTGGCAGTGGGTGTTCTGGGGCCGCAGCGCAAGTGCCACTCAGCCTAAAGTTGGAGGAATGTCCGGTCTGAACAAGGGCGAGATCCAGAGAAAACCAGACCTCACAGCCCCCGAACGGTGGGGACAAGATGCAGGGCTGCGGGAGAGAAAGGAGCTATTTTTAAGGGCAGGAGGTTTGCATTTAGAGACCATCTGCAGGACTGCGGGCGGGACGTGGGGACAGCGCACAGAAGCAGGTGTTGGGAGAGTCGCCGGGGGTGAGGCCGGCTTCCCAGAGCTGGTTCTGGAGCTGAGGCAGAAACAGCAAGCGCAAACCCGTGGTGGTGGGGGGCGCGAGTGGACAAGGGCAAGGCAAAGACGGCAGGAAGGAGGAGGTGAGAGGGGCTGGCCAGGCCAGCGGGTCCACTCTGAGCCTCCAGGGACTGCGATGAGGCCAAGGGCGAGGGGAGCCGGGATGGATGTTGAGCCAGAGACAGGTGCTCGGAAGCTGCTCCTGGGCAAGCTGGAGGGCAGACTGGAGGCGAGGAGGACAGAAGGAGCCCCTGCCACGGAGCAGAGGTTCAGAGAGAAGCTGAACGCGGGACATCGCCTAGATGCCGGGCCTCCTGTGACTGGTGACGGTGGGTCCCTGGAGCCAGTTAGAGAGGGGACACTGCCTGCTTAGAAGAGGCTGTTTATAGACCGGGCTGCATGTGACAATGCCGTGCTCAGGGGCGCCCTCTCCAGGGTGTTCCCTCTCCAGTGGCCCAAGAGCTTTCCCTGCTGCTGTCCATCGACTCCCTCCCGACTCCTGGGGGCTCAGGAGGAACTTCAGCAAGGACTGTCCAGTCTGTCCACCCGGGCAGGAGAGACCAGGGCCGGACTGGGTCCGCGTGCTTCAGGGAATCTCTTCCACCGATGGGGAAGTCCAGCGCCTTCCCGCAGGGCCTGGGAAAACGCTGTCTCATTTTTTGCTAAGGGGCCCCCGAAGGGTCAGATGATCTCCGTTTTCATCTCGCCTTCCACCTTCTTCTTCTGCTTCTCCATCACTGCCTCCAGCTCTGACACCTTCTCTTTGTCCTGGAGACAGGGGTGGAAATCAGGTCCTTGGCGTCCCGGCCCTCCGTGCCTCGCCCCCCCCCACGCCCCCTCCCCTCCGCCGGGCCCAGTCGCAGCCCGGGCTAGGCTCACCTCCAGCAGGGCACGCTGCACCGTTAGCAGGCTGTACACGCGCGCCCCCTCCTCAGGGCTCACCGCCCGCAACTCTTCTTTTTCCAACGAGAAAAGCTGCGCGCCGGACAGTAAGCCCAGCGCGGTCACCGTCCTGAGCGAGGGCAGCGAGGCGCGGTCAGGCCTATCAGCCAATCACAATCCAGCCCCTCCAGCCCCGCCTCCCCAACCAGAGCGGCCTTCTAGCTCCACCAGGGCCAACACTGCCGAAGTCCGCACCCACCAACCACAGCGCGCCCTCGGGGGCGGGGCTTCCCTGGGAATTCCAACCGCAGCCTGGGAAAGAGGCTAACTGCAGCCCGTCATTCGGCCATCCCACCAGATCTCACCAAGGGCCCCCCCTGCTCCCCGAGTTCGCACGCTCCCCTCCGGGCCCAGCAGGCCGGACCCCACTCACCCCGGACTGAAGCCCTTGGCTTGCAGCCAGGCGCGGACTTTGCCGGCGTCTGAGTCCCGGCTGAGCTGAGGCTCCTGCGCGCGGGGACCCGGGGCTGCTCGGCCGGGGCTCGCGCGGCCCTGGGCTAGGCGCGCTTGCAGCTCCTCGTTGACACTCAGCATCTGGGAGAATTTCTCTGCAGGAGGGATACTGGGACTCAGGGAGAGCGCTGCTGGGCCGCATCCGGCCTTCTAGGGTCCCCAGGGTGGGTGGAGAGTCCCTTCGCTGTTAGTCTCGGTTTCCCTACCTGGAAAGCCACGATGAGATCTGCTCCCAGGAGGGGCGCTCCCAGGAGGGGATGCCCCACCACTCACCCTTCTCACTGGGGTCCAAGTTGTTGAGGCTGTCGCAGCTGTCCCAGTGGGGCCTACCCGGAGCAGGAGCCGGGCCTGGAGGGGGAGGGGGAGTGCTGTGCTCCTAGAGGATGAGAGGAGGTACCTGAGTCAGGGAGGAGACTCAGAGTCCCGGCCTTTCCCCTCTGGAGACACACGTGTGAACCTCATCACCTCATCCACCAGTACCCTTGACACCCAGTTCCTCACTCCCAGGACCCAGAATCCAGCCCCAGCTTCTCCTCCAGGGAGACCCAAGTCTGCTGTGACTCACCAGGCTTCGGGCAGGGCTTTGGCTGTGGTCCCTCCGGGGTCCTCGGTGGGGTGTCAGGATATTATAGGGCACATATCCCTCTTGGCCCTGTTGGTCCCTCACCTTCCACCACTTGCGCCTGTCATCCAGGACCTGGGTGGGTGTGAGGAGGAGTTTCTGGGTCTGGGTCTGCAGCTCGTGCTGGCCTGGCCCTGCAGATCCCCACACCTCTCACCTCCAGCACATCCTGCTGCTTGACGGACAGCTCACTGCTGTTGCGGGCCTGGAAGTCATAATTACACAGGACCCACTTTCCTGCTGGCTCCGGCTCCTGCTGGGGCTCAGCTTGCAGCTCTGGTTCTTGGTGACTGAGGAGAGTTGGAAGGGTTGGAGATCAGGAGGCAGCCAGCCCTGCTGGTCTGGGCAGTAAGGTGCTGGTGTGAGCTGGGGTTAGAGCCAAGCAGGGGTCGCAGCAGGGCCAGGTTAATAATGTTAATGGAGATCTGAAATGGGGATAATGGCTCAAATATATTGTGCTCCTTTTCTTGCCTGGCTGTGAGCACATGGTGTGGGTATATCATCTCTCACCATATAGGTAAGAACAGCGAGGCTCAGAACACGTGGTTAGGAACAGCTGCTATTTATTGAGCATCTGCAGGTACTGGGTATCCATAGGTATCATGATAGCTCATGAGCAGTAAAAACGATTGCAAACACTTACATAGCCCCACGTGCAACATACTGTGCAAAGTCTGTTACAGATAAAGCTGATTGATCCTCCTGACCACCTTGGAAGAACCATGAATCTGGACCTCCCTCGGTTCCTTCCTTCCCCAGGGACCTCATTATCTCTGCTTTTATAGGTGAGGAGGCTGAGGCACAGTGATGTAAGGGTTAGGGAGCAAGAGCGGTAAGGCTGAGCTGGGCATGGTGGTGCACGCCTGTAATCCCAGCTGCTCTGCCCACAGGCTGAGGCAGGAGGATCATGAGTTCAAAGCCAGCCTCAGCAAGAGTGAGGCACTAAACAAATCTGTGAGACCCTGTCTCTAAATAAAGTACAAAATAGGGCTGGGGCTGGGGCTCAATGGTCGAATGCCCCTGAGTTCAATCCCCAGTATCCCCCCACCGTCTGCCCCCAGGCAGTCAGCCTTGGTAACTGCCCGCTGTGTGTGCAGTGGACCTGAATTGGAGCTGGGCTAGCCTTGGGCTCTTTGCCAGCTGACACATCACAGACTTCACCCTTCCACGGAGGGCTGATCATTTTTCCTGTTTTCCTTACAAAGAACTCGAGGCTGAGAAGGTAAGGGAAGAGCTGGGGACGCTGAGTTCAAGATTTAGAAGCATGGTAGGGGAGGAGGGCATCTGCAACACCAGGCAGCTGGGGACAGGTTGGATATGACCCCTAGTGAGAGGGACCTCAACCCGGATCAGGCCTACCTGTGCAGGGAAGAGGGGGGGTCTTCTGGGCCGCGGCACCCCCTGTGTGGGGCTGGCGGCTCCCAGCATGCAGTCCCTGCTGAGACCCTCTGCCCTGGCCCTCACCCAGACCCCAGTCATCTTGAGCCTCACCGCCCTCTCATCCACGTGGTTTCCTCCAGTCTGCCCAGTACTTGCCCAAAGACCTTCGAGTTCTGGTCTTTCCCCCCCTGGGACCCAAGACTCTGAGACCCCAGAGTTTTGTAGAACCATGACTTTGGACCCCTACTTCTTTAATTCCCAAGGATCCAGAGTCCGGGTCTCAAGCTTCAATCTCCTAACCTTTTAGCCCCCCCCCCTCCCCCAATCTCTAAGTCTACACCGCCAGGACTTGGACTATTAATTTAAGACCTTTGGGAAACCCCAGGTCCAATCCCCCTGTCTTTGCCTCTGCCAGAGACCCAGAGATACCACCACTTCCTGACTTCCCCCAGAAACTTCCCTCAAGCCCCTGAAGCCCCACCTGGCTCCCCGCCCAAGCACCAGACCTGAGTTCTTCCAAACCCATATGTCTAATCCCCAGCCTCTTCCTTCTAATACCCATGGCCCTGTCCTCTAGAAACCCAGACATGAACGCTTCCCGGCCGGGAGAGCCCAACTGCGTTTTCCTGGCCTTTTGAGGACCCAGGGGCCTGACCTCTTGGACATACCCATTCCCAGCCCCTTCCTCCCTCAGCCCCAGGACTCTGGGCCTCCCTCTTCCCTGGGACCCACCCCAACCCTCCCTGCGGCCCCACCCCGTCCCAGCCCCATCTGGTCACCACCTCACCCACCTGCGAAGAGCCGGGAAGACAAGGAAAAAGAAAAGGGGGCGGGGTCAGCGCTGGGAACCCCGGGCCGTACCCCTTCGGGACCCCCCTTCCCAGGCCCGGAGCGGACACTCACCCATTGACAGCAACCTGGGGAGCGCTTTGCTGCAGGGAGTAAGAGAGCCTGGGTCAGGGGGGCGCGGAGTTCCCAGCCGGGTCCGCCCGCCGCCTGGCTCCGCGGGCAGCCCCAGTCTTACCTGCCGGCGCCGCCTCTCGTGCTGCAGCTGCTTCTCCACTGGGTCCTCCCAAGCGCGGCCCTGAGGGTCAGTGGCTGGGGGCTCCCAGCCATTGTAGAACTCGGGGCTGTATGGGGGTCCCTCCTCCGGGGGCAGCTCCAGCCTGCGACCAGGAAAGGGCCGGTGGCTCAGGTAATCTTGGTCCGCTGGGACTTAGTGTCGTCGACCTCACTAACTTCCCCTCCCCTGAGCCTCGCTCTGTCGCGAGGACTCTAACCCCACCCGGTCTCTAAGTGACTTCAAATATGTTTCTAAACACGTTGATCCCACTCTAAGTCTCCGTCGGCTCCTCTCACCTCTGGTTCCAACCCGAAACCCCTAGCTCCTTTCATCCTGCCCTTTGACCCAAGCTGGGTCTCTGGCTCTGCCCCCACCCCTAATACCCCAAGTCTTCATCCACGCTTCAAATCTGTGGGCCTCACCTCCATTAAGCCCCGCCTCCCTTAAGTCCCTCCCCATTCACCTAAGCCCCGCCCTGGCCTTGTAGTCGGGTATTAGTCCTCTAAATCCTGCCTTTTGTTCCAATCCAATAGTCTGGCTAGAGCTTAAACCTCTCCTGCACTCTAATTTTTTAGCTCTTTCTCCAATCGGATGCTGCATTTGCCCTAAGTGCGGGCCCTCATTAACCTCTTTACCGCACCCTCCTGGTTGAGCCCCATCTCCAACCCTCTCTGGTCCCCCTTCTTCCCAGTCCCCACGCCCTCTGCCCTCCAGCCCTTCACCAACCCCGGGCAGGTCCACGAGTCCCCCAGCGAGGTCCAGAGAGCGTTTTCACCGGGAGTCACACTGTCCCGAAGCAGCGCCACCGCCTCGGATGTCAGATGCGGCCGCCTGACACTGCTGGCGAACTCAGGGCCCCCAGACGTGTTCACAATCTGCAGGACGCAGGAGTGGGCATGCCATCCACCCCTCTAAGTCCAACCCGATTCCTCCTGCTGGGGGCCTGCGGCCTTGGGAGCAGCCTCACCATCTGCAGAGGTCCGAACAGAAAGTGCAGCAGCTCTGGGGAGGAGGGGTTGGCGATGTTCCCGCGCAGCCGCGCCTGGGGGAGGAGGGCCGTTGGCATTTGAGCCTGGGCGAGTCAGGGTCTCTGTCCCCTCGCCCCGAGTCCAGGGGCGGACGCGTCCTCACCAGCAGGCTGAAGGCGTACTTGATTTTCTGAAGCACGTCCGTGTACTCGGCCTCCGAGGGCGGCTTGGCCCTCAGCGTCAGCAGGCCCTCTGTGGGTGCGGACAGGCGCGGGGGTGGGGGCACAGGGACAGACACCAGCGGGTACCGTGAGAAGTGGACCAGGCCGGAGGCGGAGGGAGCCCCCGCGGGAGATAGTCCCACCCAGCGGGCGCCCCTTACCCCCGGCCTCCCGGCGCCGCGTCCTGCGGCCGCGTTCGCGGTGCTGCAGCACACGGGCGGCCTCTGCCGACTTCTGAAGCCTCGATACAAAGGTCTCCACGTCGTCGAAAATGTGGTTCAGGATGTCCTGCAGGAGGAGGAGGGAGCCGCGTGGGCTCCTGGATCCCAGACGTTCACCCGGGCGGAGGCGCTCTAGCCCAGCGCCCGGACACACAGCCAGCCTCCTGGATCCCGGACGTTTCCCCAGCCCCCACCCCAGGAGTTTGGTTGACGTCTGGGCCCCCAGTCTCGGGCTGGTGGGAGCCACTCACCACTTCTCTCTCCGCCTGCAGACCTGCCAGCTCAGGACCGCGGGGGCCCAGGTCTGGCGAGGTCGGGTCAGCGACGCAGGCGGTGCGCTCCGGGGCCGGCCTGGTGGCCTCCACCTCCGGAATAGGCTCCACCCGGGGTCGCCCTCGGCCGGCGGCTGGCTCCGCAGTGCCGATCACCGCGCGGACCGACGGGCGGCGCTGCAGGGGCGGGGTCTCGGCGGCGGTGGAGGGGCCGCGCTGCAGCTCCTCTTGCGTGGCCCTGCGGAAGGAGAAGGGGAAACTGAGGCTGGACCAGCAGAAGGGACGGGGGCGGTGGAGTAGAGGACATTGAGGCCGCAAGGAGTCCAACCCAGGCTTGGCATCTCACAGGGAGACAGCTGACACGCGGAGCGAAACCCGGGCGGGAAAGGCGAAAGCAGAACCCTGGAGAGGGCCCCGGGAGGCCCGCGCAGGGCCTGAGCAGGGTTTGCTAGACTCCACTCAACCCTCGTTCTGCTCCTTGTGGATATCAGCTCATTTCTTGGATGAGGAAACAGGTCCAGAAAGGGGACATCCGCTCCCCAGAGAGCCCAGCCCTCCCTCCGGTGCTTCTAGTCCAGCTCGCTCACCTGAGCGCTGCTGCCCGGCGCTCCCCGCGGCCTGAGCGGTAATTGTGCAGAGCCCCTTGGATGTCCTCTCGTATCAGCTCGGCCTGTCAATCATGCTGTCAGGCTATGCCTCCCCACGCCCCAGCCGCTGCCCTCCCAGGTCTCACCATGGACACTTTAATTGCTCAGCCCTGGTCCCCCGCTGTTGTCGCTCACGCCTGTGGACCCACGCACGTCCACGCCTGGACTCGAATTCTCGCCCAAAGTCTGTCCCTGCCCTCGTCCATGACCCAGCCGTGGAGACCAGTCCGGCTCCAGTGGAGACCAGTCCTGGACCACATTGCCCAGCATCCTCCTTCTGGCTACTCCCAGACCCTCTGAATACTTGAGCCCTCAGCCTCACTCTCCATCTCACGCTCTGGTCTGGTCTTGGTCCAGAATCAACCTGTCTGCAAACACCATTCCCTCCCAGGGCCTCGGGCTCAGGTTCCGGCGGGTTCCGGTGGACCCCTGTCCCACCTTTGCTCCAGGCCCCGCCCCATCACCTAGAGACCCCGCCCATTTCTGCCCCGGCTGGGACTCGGTCCGGAGCCCGTTCTCACCCCCAGGCGCAGGCCCTGGAAGAAGTGCACGTCTGGCTGCGCACGCTCTGGCTCCTGACACACCAGGAGCAGCAGCGAGCGGCTCCGGCCCGGTGGCACCACCGCGTCGCAGCGCACGATGGCGCCCAGTGGGTAAGACTCGAGCTCTTCCTGTGAGGGGGGACGGCGGGGTACACTGAGGCCCTGGTCGATAATACTATCAACTGGTGACATCAGTGCCCAGTTGGTGCAGGAGCTGGCTCAAGAGGTAACGGGATTAGGGATAACAACCCCATTTAATAGGGATGGCCAGAAAAGGGGCGGGGCCTTGCGCCCCAGTTCCCAGAGGAAGGACGTGTGGGAGCCCAGATTCACACTCAGACCCTGAAGCCCCAGGGGCAAGCTTTCCGTGTCTCTGCAGGCTCGGCCCCTCCACTTTCCCCACCCATGTGCCCCCTGGCACCTTGGAGACTGGGTCCAGCAGGGTGACGCGGTCAGGGGACACTCGAAGTAGCATGTCCTGTGCCCAGACACGGCCCTGGCTGTCCATGACGGCCAGCTTCCTGGAGGCATCCTCCACGGTGTGCACGCCATCCTCCTCGCCCAGGCAGAACGTCACCAGGTGCTGGCACCCACAAAGAGCCAGCTGAGTCCCGGAATGAGGTCGGGTAGGCGGAGCCCGCGGGAGCCACCCTGCCAGCCTGAGGCTAACCACTCCTCCAGGAAGCCTTCCCGGAGCGCCTGCCCCAGTGGCTCACCACCCAGCCACCCAGAGCCGCGGCGCCTCTTTCCTCGGAGGCTAGCACTGGGGGCTGTCTTCTCCCCAAGACTAGCGCCCCCTGAGGGCGGGAGCCAGTCGGAGGGACAGCGAGTCCCTGTAAAGGCCTCCTCTGGTGTCCCTCCCATTAGAGCCCTGGCACTCAGGACTCTGGCGCCATCTACCCTCTGTCATCCACATTGCGGCTCTTAGTCCCTGAGTCCGGCACAAGAGCTGGTCACAGGTAATGTCCGCAGATCTGATGGAGCTGAGGCCCATGTCTGAGGCCACTACAGAAAGCCCACTTTGTGGGTGACTAGAGGACTTATTCCTGCTTGATGACCCTGCCCGTCAACTGCCCTATCTGTATGGTCACATTTTCCCCAGAAGAGCCCTGTGCAAACAGACCCCAGACTCACATTGACAGGGTACTGGGAAACATCAGCCATCACCACGGTGGAGTAGTGCTTTCTCTGCTCTGCGGGGAGGGGAGTCGCCAGGATGGGAGCCCAGCCCCCTCCTCAGAGAGGAGGAGAGTCCAGCTGCCCCCTCAGAGCAGGAGGAGAGCCCAGCCTCCCCCTCAGACCAGGAGGAGAGCCCAGCCTCCCCCTCAGACTAGGATTGGAGCCCAGCCTCCCCATCAGACCCAGAGGAGAGCCCAGCCTCCCCCTGAGACCAGGAGGAGAGAGCCCAGCCTCCCCCCCAGACCCAGAGGTCTGGGCCCCCAGTCCTCTTCTCCCAGGAACCTGGGCGCCACGTCTCTAGTTCTTTTTGACCCCACACTCACCGTAGATAGACTTGGCACTCGGCTTGGGGGCAGCTTCTGGGCTGGTGAAGAAAAGAGGGGTGAGAGGGACTGTGGGAGTTGGGAGGAGATCCTGGAAGAATGGCAGGCAGGGCAGCAAGGACTTCATTGTGGGGGCAATGGGGAGCCATGGTGGGTATTAGGCAGGGAAGGGCAGGACCAAGGTTGGTTTTAAGAAGTCAGATAGGTGGTAGTGGGGGGGGGACAGGGAGTGTAGTCTCTGGGGTCATGAAGACCTGGGTTCCAGTCCTCTGTGCTATTTCCTTGCCCTAAGATCCTGGGCAGGGACTTGGTCTCTCCCGCCTCAGTTCCCTTGTGTAGGAGAGCATCCACCTGCCAGGGCTCTGGGAAGGTGCAGTCAGGCGAGGCAGGGGAGGAGGTGCAGCTCAGTCACCATGACCATCCGTGTTACGGTGATGCAAGGGACTTTGGGACACAGTAGTTGCTCAATACGTGGGAATGATACAAGGACACAAGCAGCACCTGCAGCAGACACAGGCCTCCCCTGTCACCCACAGGCAGGCTCCTCCCAGGGCCCTCCTGCTCCATCTCCTCCCGGCCCAGCCCCTCTCCAAGTCACTGCCACAGGAGACCCTGTTGTCCCAGGTCCTCTCTCTGCTGCTGGCCAGCCGTCCCCACAGTGTGATACCCCCGAGCTGCAGAGCTCCCCACTTCTCATGGCCGGGGCGTCCCCTGGCTGTCCCTGCTCACTGCAGGAGGCTCAAGGGTGCACATGTGTGGGACGAGATCCTGAGAGGCAGCGGCAGTCCCCGGGGGGTCCTGCAAGGGGTCACTCTGTCAGCCCTCAACACTGTCCACTTCACAGAGAGGGGCTGGGCTAAAGTGGGCGAAGTCCCTCTGCAGGTCACCCACGGCTGAGCATGGACACCGCTGTCTGTGCCTGGCCAGGGCTGGACACGGAGGGATGTGGCTCTGGCTTTCCCCTGAGTGCGGGCCTGGCTGCTGCAGAAGGGTCCGCAGCTGTGGCAGGTGTGGAGGGTTGGGGGCCGGAGGGCACTTACCCAGGGGTGGTGCTCATGGTGCTGGGGGGGGAGCTGCAGCCGCCTGGAGGCACCTGGGAGCCCGCAGAGACGTGAGCCTCCTGACCAGCCCAGCCTCCTCCCTCAGACCCAGGGCACAGGCCCAGCCTCCTCCCTCAGACCCAGGGCACAGGCCCAGCCTCCTCCCTCAGACCCAGGGCACAGGCCCAGCCTCCTCCCTCAGACCCGGGGTCCAGGCCCAGCCTCCTCCCTCAGGCCCAGCCTCCTCCCTCAGACCCAGGGTCCAGGCCCAGCCTCCTCCCTCAGGCCCAGGGTCCAGGCCCAGCCTCCTCCCTCAGACCCGGGGTCCAGGCCCAGCCTCCTCCCTCAGACCCAGGGGTCCAGGCCCAGCCTCCTCCCTCAGACCCAGGGCACAGGCCCAGCCTCCTCCCTCAGACCCAGGGCACAGGCCCAGCCTCCTCCCTCAGACCCGGGGTCCAGGCCCAGCCTCCTCCCTCAGACCCGGGGTCCAGGCCCAGCCTCCTCCCTCAGACCCGGGGTCCAGGCCCAGCCTCCTCCCTCAGACCCGGGGTCCAGGCCCAGCCTCCTCCCTCAGACCCGGGGTCCAGGCCCAGCCTCCTCCCTCAGACCCGGGGTCCAGGCCCAGCCTCCTCCCTCAGACCCGGGGTCCAGGCCCAGCCTCCTCCCTCAGACCCGGGGTCCAGGCCCAGCCTCCTCCCTCAGACCCGGGGTCCAGCCCCAGCCTCCTCCCTCAGACCCGGGGCACAGGCCCAGCCTCCTCCCTCAGACCCAGGGCACAGGCCCAGCCTCCTCCCTCAGACCCGGGGTCCAGGCCCAGCCTCCTCCCTCAGACCCGGGGTCCAGGCCCAGCCTCCTCCCTCAGACCCGGGGTCCAGGCCCAGCCTCCCCCCTCAGACCTGGGGTCCAGGCCCAGCCTCCTCCCTCAGACCCAGGGCACAGGCCCAGCCTCCTCCCTCAGACCCAGGGGTCCAGGCCCAGCCTCCTCCCTCAGACCCAGGGGTCCAGGCCCAGCCTCCTCCCTCAGACCCAGGGGTCCAGGCCCAGCCTCCTCCCTCAGACCCAGGGGTCCAGGCCCAGCCTCCTCCCTCAGACCTGGGGTCCAGGTCAGCTCTGCAGGGCTCAGGCCTCCTTACCTGCTCGGTCAGGATCTGCTGTGCTCTGAGCCCTCAGCCTCTCTCCCTTCCAGCCTCAGGCCCCACCTCCTGCTCCCTCCCTGGCCTTCCGCCTCTGCATACCTGAGCTGCTCACCTGGCACTGCCCGCTGAGGTGGCCTGGGCGGGGCTGCAGACAGTCCCGAGAGGGGGCTGGGATGGCCTGGGGAAGCCCGGAGACTGTGCCCATTGTAACAGCACAACAGTGACCACGACAATCACACCTGACGTCCAGTTCCTGGCTCTGCGTCAGAGCTCTGCCTCCTTCAGCAGTCCACCTGGCCCCGGAGGACGCTGGCCCCAGGGAGGGCAGCGGCTTGTGGCACTGCTGCCAGCGGGTCAGAGGGCAGGGGGGCAGGGAGTGCCCAGAGCCACGGTCTCACGGCCCTGTCGCCGGCCCAGATGCCTCCTGTCTGTCCCCCCTGGGCCCTCACCCCACCACCCTGCCCAATTTCTTTGGAAATTTCCCTCAATAACCCTCATGTGACGTGTGACGAGGATCTTAAGAGTTAGGTCATTAAGTGCCCTTGTGCCCGACAGGCTCCGGGTGCGTCCCTGGAACCTGCCGGTCTCAGGCCTAAGAGCTGAGCCTGGACCCCACGCCTGGCCACACCCACCTCACGTGTCCCCAGCACCAGGGACGGGGTGCCCCCGGGACCTGAGGAAGCAGCCTGGAGGGAAGGGACGCAGCAGGGCACACTCCCACCCTCAGACCTGCCCCAGCGCTGCCCGGCGACCGTGGGGTCAGGGAGGGACGGCCTCTGGGGCGTGCCGTGCTCCTTCACCCAGCACACCTGGACTCCGGGGTCTGCGCTGGTGACGCGGGAAACCCCAAAGCTCCTGTTGCCCCTGTCGACGGCGAGGAAAGAACCCAGAGAGGCACGATGCGGGGCAAGTGCAGGTGAGGCCGAGTCCTGGCTGCGCCTGCTGCTCGGTGACGTCTGTGCCAGCAGCTCCCGTCTCAGGACATGATGGACAGGCGAGTGCGATCCCACTGCGCGCTCTGCCGCTGCACGGGGAGGCCGAGGCACGCATAGGCGCGTGGTCTGTCCCCGTCACAGCTGGTGCTGGAGCAGGGGCTGACCCCGCCACACCCGTGGGACCTGCGTGCTTTGGTGCTACCCTGGGCTGCCTCTCTGCGACCTGGGCAAGCTGCGTCACCTCTCTGGGCCTCAGTCCCCACTGCAGAGTGGGATTGCCACCAGCAAGGACGGGATGAGTCCCCAGAGCTCTCAGCACCGCCCTGGCAGAGGGCGGCCGTCATGGGGACCACGGCCTCTCTTCCCTCCTGTCTGTGAGGGGCACAAAGGGCCCATCAGATGCGCCCAGCAGGCTGCACCCAGGGTGAGTTTGACAGCCGAGGGGGCCCAGGGCGTCGGGGTGCTCCAGGCCCTGCCTCTGCCTGAGCCAAGGAGGGAGGTCAGACTCTGTCCCCAGGGTGGGGGCGTGTGCAGCAGAGCAAGCAGGGTCAGGTCTCCTGCCACACGGGTGCCCTGAATGCCCTCTGAGCTCTGTCCTGTCAGGGGTGGGGCTCTAGGAGAGGAGCATCACCCACCTCTCACCCCACACACAGAGGAGACCACATGGACTCGGGGTGGACACTGCCGTCCCCCAGGGTCACAGAGGCCCTGGGCTGTGACATAAAGGCAGGATTAGCTGAGCCTGCCCCCTTTTCCATGTGCAGATGGAGAAAGTGTCTCTTGGGGTCCTTGTTATGAGCCAGGGCTCTGGACACTGGTCTGAGAGACCAGGCTGGGCCTGGACTCCAGGTCTGAGGGAGGAGGCTGGGGCTGGGCTCCTGGGTCTGATGGGGCTAGCTCCTCTGCAGGGGGGCAGCGGAGGAGGCCCCCTGGCCCCCGTGACCCATGGGTGGCCGGCTCTCTGGAGCAGCCTGTGAGAGCAAAACCTGAGACTCCGCCCTCACCAGGCCAGCAGCCTCCTCCCCCTTCGGTGGCAGCAGAATGGCCCCTCCCTCCTCCAAACCAGGGGCGTGGTTCTGAAATACCAGGGCCCCCACCCTTGCAGAGCGGTCAGGCGGAGGAGGTGTGACTCTGTGCTGGAGACCCCCAGGGGTCTGTGCCCTCAGAGTTCTCTTCTAGCCCCTGCAGCCTCCGTCCTGAGGATGCACAGTGCGGGTCTGCGTTTGGCTCGTTCCCAAGGTGGTGCCTGTCACAGGGAGCTGGATTGGTGTCCTCTGGGTTGGGAGTCTCCCGTGGGTGTCCTGTGTGAACCCACCCCCTCTTCCACTACCCCACCTGCACCCCACCGTCTCTGAGATGCTTGGCTTTGCTGAGGAGTCCGCAGCAAATGGCGGGGTGTCTGTTGTGGGGGGCTATGCAGCGTGGGGGCTGGGCTTCAGGAGGCGGGGACTCACCCTGTGTGTACATCCAACCGAGTCATTCAATGCACAGCTCCCACACCTAAGTGTCTCACCATTTGTCCTCAAGAAGAAAGTCTTATTGAGGAGATGGACCCTCCTGACATTGGCAGTCATGATTCATGGTGATGCATACAGTCATGGATCGGTGCAGGGCATTGTGTGTCCCCAGAGGAAGCCTTTAATGTGGCCTTGCAGGCTGTGTGCGTGGGGGGTCAGGTGGTGGAGAGGGGGAGTCCAGTCAAAGAAGCCGTTTTCAGTTGTGAAATCTGGACAGGGTTTTGAGGGATGAATAGGAGTTCTCCAAGGAAGATGTAAAGATGCATTCTAAGCATTGGGAGTGGCCTGAGCCGAGTCTTGAAGTCATGTAGAAACAAACACTTAGGCTGGGAGGAGAAGGAGAACAAAGCTGGGGCCCCTGTGATACTGTCACCACCGGTGAGGACATGGAAGATAAACAGAAGATATGACAAGACTTGGGACTCTGTACGGGCCCTGGAGGGAACAGTAAAGGGACAGTGCAGGCGGGCGGGTGGTCAGGGCGGCCAGTGAGCAGCTGGGCTTGGAGATGGTGGGGAGGCAGAGGTGACGTGGGAGGGTCCGTGGACTGGGGCACGTCAGCAGGGTCCGGCGGGGTGGGGACAAAGGCGGCTGCCTGGGTGGCGGAGGTCATTCAGGCGGCGCGGAACCGGCTGGGTCGCCGAGCGCACGGGGACAGGTTCCCCTTCCCCGAGACGGCCTTCGAGGGCGGGGGCAGCTGCTCTCCAGGGCGGGTCTGGAACCGGCCGGGCTGGTGGCTGTTTGTTCTCTGGGAGGGACGAGGGTGGGGCGGCCTGGCAGCCCCTTCCTGAAACCCGAGCCGCGGGCTCCCGGGGCGGCGGGCGGGCGCAGGGGGCCGGTGCCTTCTCGCGCCCCGCGCCTCAGTTTCTTCCTCTGTAAAGTGGGCGCGCGTCCTGGGACCGCCTTCAGGGCTGCGGGAAGGGTGTGCGGGTGGCGGGCCAAGGAAACCGGGCGCAAACGCGGGTGGCCGAGGTGACCGGGAGCGCGCTCCTCCCGCAGTCCTCGCCCGGTGCCGTCTTGGTGCCCACCACTGGGCAGGTCACGGGGTGGGCAGCCGCAGCCCCGGGCAGGTCCCAAAAGGTCTGCACCACCGCAGGCCGCCGCCCCTCCCGGGCCTGCCTTCCTCCAGCGGCCAACGGCTGACCCCCGACGTGCGTCTCCTCCAGGGGGTCTCCAGGCCCAGCCGCGCACGCCGTCCGGAGATGATTCGGGCTTAGGGAAGAAGAACGCAGGAGCCCCCGGGGGCACCGGCCACACCCCAAGGCCGCGAGCCAACGGGGGCAGTGGGCGTGCCCCTCCCCCTCTCAGGCCTTTTCCCGTGGCGCTGACTGAGCGGACCTGATGTCACTGTACCCCAAACGCTTGCAGTGTGTTTCCTACGGACAATGTCACCGTGTCACGGTCCCAGTGCACACGCTGCTAGCCGGGCGCAGGGCTCAGCTGAATGTCCGATTCCCTTAGTGATGGCCCCACACTGAGCCGGCTGCGGGTTCTCTCTCCCTGAACCTGGAATACCGCTCCCTCTTGCGGGACCTTGAAGGGTTTGGGGAGGCCTGGGGGGGGGGGTGCAAGCACATGCACCCCCCTGAGGCAAGCCCGGCCTGGGCTGAGCCTCATGAGGAGCTGTTGGCTTTGCCCAGTGAGCAGCAGCGTCGCAGGCCCACCTGAGCTTCCCTGCGGGGGACGCGGTGTGCTGCGTGTTTGTCCCCACATGCCGGGTCCCCATCCCTTGGCTCGGTAGTTAGTAAGCATCTTTTGGGGAGATGCTGTGAGACCTTATCAGTGTCCTGGTCCTTCAGAGACCCTCCAACCATTACTTTACAAACCAGGGATGCTTCCCACCAGGATCAGCCATGGGACTGGGGTCGAGGGCAGGGCGAGCTGAGGGACAGGCTGGGAGGCTTCACCCCAGCCCAGGAGCTGGGGCGTTTTGGCCTAAGTGCTGTCGCTCTCTGGGACGGGGAGGGAGGACTCTGGTGTAACAGGGACCCCACTGGCCGATGCTTAAACCAGGCGGAAGTTGATTCCTCACACTTGTACTTGTGGGTCGGAGGTTCAGGACTCCTTAGCACCTCCCAGACCTAGGACCAGGCTCCTCCCATGTCACTCTTCTACCAATCCACTGGGACCCAGCCCCCAGGGATGCCTGCAGGCTGCTCTGCCCTGCACTTACTCCCCCCCCCCCCCCATAAACTTTGACCTTTTATTGAAGGAAGTGCTCTGTGGCTTCTGTCTGGCATGTCTGAATGTGTTTGGGGGACACTGAGTTAGATCCTTGAAGCTCTGTGATGCTAACCAAGACAGCTACCCAGGACCGACAGGTGGGCAGTGGACACAGAGTGGATGTGCTGGACAAAGGGAGGATTCACAACCTGGGCAGGGTGGCGCAGGATGGCTCAAGGCTTCATCATGCTGCACAGGATGATGTTCAGTTTAAAACTCATAAATAGTTTGTTTCTTAAATTTTGGACGAAGTAACCCAAACTGTGGAGTGTAAAACAATCGGGAAGGGTACTGTACAGCTTCCAACTCAAGGACTAAGGTGACTGCTCCAGCCCTGCCATCACGTCTGCCTTCCAGCCAGGAGCAAGGAGGGAAGGGGGAGGTGTCATTTCCTTTTAAGTGCCCACATGCCGTGGATCAGAAGCTAGACGCATGGCCACACCTGGCTGCAGAGGAGGCAGGGAACTTCGTCTTTGTTCTGGCTGTTCGTGTGTCTGCTGTAAAGAGCAGGAAGGGGCGCCGGGGCCCAGGGAACAGTGAGGCGGCTTCCCTGAGGGGAAGTCCCTGATTCGGGAGCTGCTCTTCCTACATCCTTCCTACATCCCCTTTATCTCTCAAGTCCAAGTTCTAGCCAGAAAAAAGAAAATCCTATAAACACACATCTGCTCAGGACCCTCCATTGCTCAAACTCTCCTGTGGCTCCCCAGTACAAAGCCACGCTCTGGGCTACTCTTCCATACCCCGCCCCTGT